TGCGGACATGATATCCTATTTACAAACACCATTAGAACAAATCCCTTTATTCATTAAGAGAATGTAACTATATATCTATCCTAACCATTTTGAATGCACAGATACAAAATGGACATTGTAGAGCCCTCAAAAATGAAAAAAGTGCTGATTAAGAATATTTTATCTAATAAACATATAAAATAAATTACTGTGTGAAAACAAAAAGAATATATTATAAGGGGCATTTATAATGTTTGTACAAAAAAGTATATGATCATAATGGACAAAAAATAATTTACTTTAAATGTAAACTAAAAGGTCAGTCCTTGAATTATATGATTTACAAATACCGGAAGTTTGATGTTTTAGAAATGATATTATTCACCTACTTGTGTAAATGCATGTTTTGCTTCATTTATAATAGGTAGTTCATATTAATTTAATAGGTATTGTTGAAAAGCCACCAAATATATGTGTACATATGGATGTATGGATATATCCCCCAATTAAGCTCCTAATTAATGACAAATTATTTGCAATTCTTCATATAATTCTTGATAATCACCAAAAGGTTTTCCATTCTTTTTTCCCATAATTACATGCAAAGTCCTGTAGCTGAAAGATGATGTATTTAATGACACAGAACATTTTTAATTAGGATAAGCAAATGATAGAGAAGGAGTAACATGAAAATTAAACCACATAGAAAAGTAATGTGAACTTACAAAATAAAAGTATCTTTGAGACTCTAGCATACAGTAGTATGCCACTTTAGAACTTTCTAAGCTTAGACCAAAATAGGTACAAATAATATTGGTTAGCAGTTTCTGAACTTATAGATATTCTTTCTTTTTTTTTTGTAAAGGAATTAAAATGGGTCTTTTTTTTGCACAGTCCATTTATTAACTCTGACATGTAACACCTGCATTAGCCCACTGAGCAATTGGCCCTATGTCTCAAATAATATTAAAGCAACTAAATTCTGACAACAATTCAGATATTCCTCAGTGGACTTTGTGTAATGTGGAAAGAAACCAGCCTCTGACCTCAAGTGAACTAGGAAGCAGTTTCTGCAGCTACTTGGCAGGCATATGTATTGCTTCCAAAGTATTCTTGGGGCTGGGGAGTTAGCTCAGTAGAATAGGCCCTTGCCTGGCAAGTGCAAGGTCCTGAGTTCAATCCCCGGAACCTTTCCCAAGTAGCCTTTTTAAAATATTGCACAACACAGTTTATTTAAGTACCTTACGAATAAAGCACCTCTCTAGGGGAATAGTCTGAAAGAGAGTTGGGTACTCAGCCACAATGATGGGAGTCAAATAAAAACAAATAGTTGGACTTTGGATCAATAGTGAACATCCTCAGGTACCATGAAATGTAGCCTACTATCTAATAAAGGAAAGCACAGCCTCTCCCTATTAAGAGCATGAGTTTTGGGGAACTTAAAACGTAAAATTATCAGTGCCCTAAATGTAATCCATTTCCTTTAAACTCTACAAGTTGAACTGAATTAGAAAATGAGTTTCAACTGGTCATTTTAAACTCAGAGTTACCATGAAGAATAAGATTAGCTACAGTGAATTTCTAAAAGTACAAATGGCTGAAAAAATATAAAGGGAAATACAGATCAATTTTACCATATTAAAAATACCTTTCTTTTCAACAAAAGGAGTATAGAATGTTAAAAGCAAATATGCCCATAGGCTTTTAAGAAACTTTGAAGGCAGTGGGCAGGCCCAGCACAGGGCCCTCACCTTCTAACCTGTGAGATGTCTCAGGTGATGGCTAGACAACTCTGGCAGCAAAGCAGCAGGACTATTAAAACCTTCTTCTGCAAAAGAAAGGGGCCCCTGAAATGAGAGGGAACATGAAGCAGACGCCCCTTGGGAAGGCAGTCGGAAGGGCATACCTGTGCTTCAATGATGAAGAAAATGGTCAAACAGAATAAAAATAAAGAAAGATGTCATACAATGACAGCAGTATGATCTTAAATTCATATTGCCTCTTTGGGTGATTTCCTGCTTCACCAAGTATGTGGATAAGGCACTCTAGTCCAGAGCTAAATAAATATTAGGCTATAAATCAATGTCCCATTAAAAGATGACCCCTATCAAGCTCAATACTATAAATTACATAAGAATTCAATGCCTATTAGTGTTCTCCTTGCCTAAATGATTTTTTGAGGCAAAGGTGTTACAGAAAATGTGGGACTAAGTAAGCATATTCCACTGTGAAAAAAAAGATAACAAATTATTTAGTGTAATTAGCATTATGCAAACAGGAATGAGAGTTCACACTTCTATAAGCTGCATTATTAGAGTGTTCATATGGTTCCAGGGATGGAAATAATGATCTTTAAGGAAACATCAGCAATTTTACATTTTTCATTTCAGGTTTTGATGGCCAGATATGATTCAGAGATACGTATGTCTATTTTTTTAATATCTCTAGTTTTGTATAAGACATTTCTCTTCCAAATTAGAAATTTATAAGCCTGAAGCATTTTATTAAACAGATTGAACTATGTTAATAAGCATACAAGTTTCTTAAACATGTAAGTTTGTTGAGCAGGGAGAACAGAAGCCAAACCATGTTTATTTGTTTTAGAACCATGTTTTTAGATTAAAATTGTATGGGAGCGTTTCTTTTCAAATTATTTTTCATTTTAATAACAAAAACAGACATCATTTATCATAATAATTGTGTAATTCATGCAACTAATACCACTAATAATAATTGATGTAATATCACAAGGACTGTAGGCTGTAGGACTGATACATTAAATTGATTCTCTGACATTAGAGGAAGGTCCTGCCTGAGCAAATCAAGACGCTAAGTTCACCTGACAACTCACTATATCAAGATTTGAGAAAAAAGTTAACTTAAAATACAGCAATCAGACACTCTTTTCTATTGAGTGAAAAGGTAGAGCAAAACCACATACCTCAGTATTGTCCGTGTGTGAATGGTAAAAGGAAAGAGAACTGTTCGGACTTTATCGTCAAACCATAACTTGATCACTATAAATGGCTAGATAAGTGATTTGGCATCATTTTTCTGATGTTTGAAGAAATAGAAACCCAGATAGAAAAAGGGATTTGCCAAAGCATAAGTTGAACTAGCTCAGAAAGCTAGGATTCATATTTTCTAAATTTCAGCTTTTTCTCCTGCATGATGTACTTTACTTAATGCTTTAACATATTTTATTATTAATACAATGTTCTAAAAAATATTATATAAAAACTATTGTGCTCAACTAAAAACTAAGCTGACTAAAAATAGCCTACACATGCCTATTGTAATCATGAGTGAATCATGTTCATTGAAAAGAATAGTATAATAAAATTATAATATCTGGAGTATATGTTAATATATTTTTCCAAAGAATTTTCCATATCTCAAATATACAATAAATTGGAAGCTCATGGTATTATAATTTAATTTTAGATTAACATTAATAACAATTCCTACTGCGTGCTCAGTGCTTCAGACATTAGATAGGAAAAGGGTTGAGTTCATTATCTGAGCCTCCAAATAATCCTAACAAAACTTTATATTGAAAAATATTTTATAGGGAGGGCCAAATAGCTCAGCAGATTAAAGCACCTGCAAGCAGGCACAGTGGCCAGGGGTTCGATCCCCAGGCCTGCCATGCTGGCCCCGCCCCCGAGGTGTACTGAGATGGCCATTGAGACTGGGCATAGTGGTGCACGCCTGTAATCCCAGCTCTTGGGAGGCTATAAACAGGTGGATCACTATGAGTCCTATCTAGTAGTGAGACCCTGAACACCCTGTAGACCCTTCCTTAAAACACACACACACACACACACACACTATATATGTATTTTTTATAGAAAATTATAAATTTCTCAAGACTGCAACTATGTATGTGAAAATTTTGCATTTAAATACATGCCTGATGGTAAACTGGAAATAATCCATAGCAAGGAATTATTCTCATTTTATTACTAAGGTCTTAATGAGCTTTTTAAAAACCTAGAGGTCTTCAACACTGAAAAGGAATCCTTGGAAAGCTAATCTATTTTTGTGTTTCAGCATAAATGTTCTAATGTCATCCTAAAATGACTTAAATTCTCTTGTATTTCACATTATTTAAAATCCTTCTTCAGA